TTTTTTTCCGCCTATCTCCTGTGTAGATTTTGGCTTGAATCATTGCATATTTAATTTTTTTTAATAAAAAAAAATAGTTTCCCCAAGTAAAAGGGGTTCAGCATGTTAACAGAGGCACTGTAATTTTAAATTCATTAGAATAACAACTCTAGAACTGTCAAATGTGGGGTGAATTTGTACTGAATTGCACTAAAAGGTACATTTCTTTTGGATCTACCCTTTTGCTAAGACAACCCTCTAGTGGAGAAGCTCCCATTTTGGCACATGAGGAAAGGACCAGGCAAGTGATTTTTGATTGATTCCAAACAAACATATGATGCTTTCCTTGGGAGTATACAAAAAAAGGCAATGGCTTTGAAGTCAAGGAAGGAACAATTACATGGGGATGGGGTTGTGAACCTACTGCAAAAATTTGTCTAACCTTTTAGGGAAACACAGCAGGGGCCTATAAAGTCAGCTGCAGAAGCACTGAAGAAACATACACAGGTACGTACCCATCACCTTGTAACCTTGCGAAGTAAGAACACGATTTGACTTTTTCAGAATCGCTCACAAAGTTGATGGAATGGTGTTTTCCAGTGAGAAAAATGGCTTCCAAGGAAAAGCTTAATTTCCCACTTAACTTTCCACTTAACTTGCAGAATCCAGTAGCAGCTGGTAGACTGAAGGGCAAGGTCACCACGGAGCCCAAGGAATCAGCCCCAGCACAGCCAATCTCCAGTCCCACCAAAGAGCTCTCAAGTCAGCCCTATGATTATCCTCACTCTTGCCTCTGAATCTTGTATTATAGGATGGCTGGCTGAGGAATTCTGGGAGTTGAAGTCCACCCATCTTAAAGTGGCTGAAGTTCAGAAACACTGATATAGGGAATACTGTGAGCTGATCAGAGCTCCCTCTAGCTGTGCTATAAGAGACTGCAAAACTCATCAGACTGCCTGCTCCGGAGCTATAGCAGCTCCTGCAATATCTAAAAATCCCTATATATCTAATATACTATCCAGTATATTTTGCAAAATAAAACACAAATTAAAGGGCATTACACTGTCCAATTTTACTGAAAAGCAAAGGTGGGAAGAATAGTAAAACAAAGCACAGTGAGTTTTACCTGAAAGTAAAGGAAATATAAAGAAAGCAGAATGTGTTTGTCACACATCAAATCCTTCAAAGCTAGCAGAACTTTGGCCCTTTTGACACTTTGAAGCTTTTAAGAATGATGCTTTGAATGTGTTTATTAATAAATACATTTGTTAAGCAAGGGTTAGGGTTAGAATTAGTTCAATAAGTATTATTTTCTATTTCTTAAAACAGCACAGCAGTAATACATTCAGGAGTATGTTGAAATTAGTAATTTTTATTTGCAGATTAAAAAAACCAAACTAAACACAAATATTAATGTCAAAACATAAATGTGAGACAGCTATCTTTTAATTATTAATGCTTGAGTAGTTAGTAGCATTAAATGTGTCTTTATTATATAAAGAATATAACCCTTAACCATTTAGAAGGAACATTATTCTGTACTGTAGTTTAACCATTCAGGTTGAATTTAAAACATATTCCCAGGATGATACTCAGGGAAATTAAAGTCAAGATGACAAGAAAGAATCATGATTTATTCAAAGTAGCACACTCACTTTAAAAGGAAGAATTAAGGTGTTACTAGATTGAGTTTCCATAACATATTTAACTCTAAATATAAGTTAACAAAATACAATAGCTGTATTGTTACACCCAAACAATCTATATGACTTACTGATTGTACCGAAAAAGTGAATAATTTATCAATATTTAGCCATTTTTGAGAGCCCCTTAAAAAGTTGAAGGGGTGTGGGTTTATTTAATAAATAATTAATAACTCTTTGTACAAAAATGCATTTCCCAACTAAAACTATCATGTCAGTTTTCAACACTCCCAATCAAAGAAGGCTCCAAGAACTGCAGAAAGGCACCATTAACCAACTGTGACAATGCCAAAATGATGACATGTGTGTGATGTTGCAATCATACCAATACCACAATTACACATTTGTCAGGATTTCTGATGCAAGCAAGCACCTGCAACACAGTGTTTGCTATTGATGTAGATGCCAGGATCATCAATTGCTAACTCTCTTGCACATGCCTATAGTCACAGGTTGCCACCCCCGACCTAACAGCTGAATTTGCAAAAAATGCCCAGCTTAGTTTGGTTAATATAACCCTGACGCTAATTTGGGCCGGGAGGGGGGGGCTTAGGCAAACCCTCCTTGTTTGGTTAATTTATGATTCGGTGAATTGTGCCACTGGTGAAAATGGGTTTAATTAGAAACCTCCAATTCCAGGGTTTTACTGGAGGATGCTGATTATCTATTTCCCTTCCAGTTCAGGGATATTGGCGGGATGGCGGGGGGGGAGAAGAATGCCTTTGCCCCCCGCAGTAAACAATTTCTTCCTAGCGGCCGACGGGGGAGGAGATAAC